GGGCAATTTTGAGCTGATCCATCAATTCCCACAACCCATGCTTTCAGAATCACTCTCCCAAGCCAAGTTCAGCCACTTCCACTTCACAGAAGGGCTTTTAACTTCTAGTGACTCAGGATTTGCACTCCAGAATCTGAAGGCACAGGCGACCTGGACGTAAAAAGCAACGCCCTAAAGCAGCAGCTGTTGAGCAAGGAAGCCTCTGTTTACTCACTCGGCAATGAAATCTAACGGTGTCCAGGAACTGACATCCGCATCAGGCATAGATTTCCTGTTCATCGGTGTATCCAAGGTAACCCTGGGGCAAAGAAAGATAAGCTCTTCAGTTGGTACACTGCTACATCTGATAAATGTTGCCTGTGTTTCTTCTCCGTCACAACGCACGCAGCACGTTGAGGACAGTGGAAGGTGGAGATTGCCCTTTTTATTAAGATCTCGCCTTCTCGGTGCCTATACTGAAACTGACTGCGCACCTTTGAGCAATAGGAATTACTCACTTGCATGCAAGCATCTCTTATCCAGAGGCAAAATGGCGTCTCACACAAATGGTGGCTGGGAAAAGATTAGGCACCTCTTCCAACTGCTCCTGTGCATAACATTATCTACAGTGGTACCTTGGGTTACGTTACCTTCGGGTAACGTAATTTCGAGTTATGAACGCGGCAAACCCAGAAGTCTGTACTTCTGGGTTTCGCCGCGTGCGCATGTGCAGAAGCGCTCTATTGCACCGCACATGTGCACAGAAGCATCACCTCCGGATACAGACTTTTTGGGATAAGTACAGAGCCCCGCGATGAATTAAGTTCATATCCAGAGGGTCCACTATATTTCCAAAGCTGCCTTGCAGCATCCCACCTAGGACTGTCTCTCACATGCTGGCTTGTTACATGCAGTTTTGACCATCAGGTGGTCAGATTCATGGTTCACTGCCACAATACACATGGCTGCAGTCCCAAACAGGTGCCAGGATAGGTGCCACTGATTTAGGCGCTATTAAGGAAGCATCAGACTGAACTTCAACCTTATTCTGGATTATTGTAATCGCTCTACGTGGGGCTGGCCTTGAGACTGACCCAGAAACTCCAGCGGGTTGCGAATGCTGCGGCGAGGTTCCTTATGGGGTCCCTTTGCTGCAGGACCACATTTCACCCAGTGCTATACAGCTGCACTGCTCCCGGTGGGAGTACAGGTAGTTTTTAGCCTTTTAAAGCCCTTATACGGCCTACGGACCCGTAACTACGGAACCGCCTCTCCTGGGTATGTCCCACGGAGGAACTTACGGTCTTTCAACAAAACATCTGAAGGTCCCAGGCCACAGAGAGGTTTAGGCTGGGGCCTCAACCAGGGCCAGGGTTTTTCGGCTGTGGCTCCGATCTAGTGGAACGCTCTGTCACAAGGGACTAGGGCCCTGCGGGACTTGACATCTTTCTGCAGGGCCTGCAAGACGGAGCTGTTCCACCAGGCCTTTGGCTAGGGCACAGCCTGACTCCCTCCTTTGGCAATCCTCACAGAACTCTAGCCCAATGGTTGCCATTAATTTGATTTGAACCGATTTTATAATGAAATGATTTTAGAATGTTTTATCATTTTACTGTTGTTAGCTGCTCTGAGCCCGGCTTCAGCTGGGGAGGGCGGGATATATAAAAAAAAAATTATTATTATTAATCTGATAGCAGCAACATACATACTCTAAAAAGTGCATTTTGAATAATGACCACCCAGGTATGAACAGAATTAACACATGCATTCATGGCCCAATAAACAGGACACAAGAATTGGGGCTGCAATCTGACCCATGCTTACACAATAACATGGTTGCCTAAAGTCCTGTGAAGGGTTCAAGAGTTCAAGATTCAAAGCAGGATTTCCCAATCTGTAGTTCAGTCCCCTAGCAATTATACCACTCAAATTATAAATTAATGCAAAACAAGAAAAGAGAGGGAGAGATACAGAGAGAGAAATCCAACAGGTTCAAATTAAAAGTATTTGCTTTCAGCAGAGGGAAATTTAATGTTAATGAAATGTAAAAGTTAAACGGCATGAATCCATCCCTTGTCCATGATTCTCAAGCAATTGCAATTTCGAGTTGACAGGCCAAGAGTTCACATAGACCACAAGCCACTGATTTCAGAGGTTGCTTCTTCAACATGGAACAAACTGGGCATATGAAAAAACCTAAAGTAGAGGGTGCTGTAAGGATTAAAATGCCACCACTTACGGGAGAATGGCAACCGCGGCAGACCCCGGTGGCAACCCACTGTTTGCACCCGAGAGGCTCTGGCAAAGCTGGTGGACTGCTCCTTTGGCCATGCCATAACCTATCATTCCTAAAACAAAAGGAAGAAAACATCAGCTTTGTGCAATAAAAGGGAAGCAGAACTGTTTGAACGAGACACCAAAATATTGTCACCGTTTCACAGTTCCTCAGGAGAATAAACCCAAACTTTTCTGGAATCTGGAAGGGAGCCGTCTAATGTGATACAATTGTGAGGATCCATCCCAGCGGTCCACTGTTTTCGGAAGCCGCTGTGTGCATACATCCACATGGGCACCTCTATGAGTAGTAGTCAGCTGCAATTTTGCAACAAGGAAGTCAGCCAAGTCACGGTGGGAGCAAAAACTAGTTGCTGCTGAAGCTCCAAAAGTCTCTGTCCCAGGACTGTACCACTTCAGACTGCTACGGGTGGGGGGACTGTCAGGGATTGTTGGTAGGGGAAAGAGGCTCCTGACTCAAACTTTCCAGGGTTCAAGCTTCAGGAAAACAGTGACACAAACAAGCAGCAAGTCTACAATCAGAACTATGTGACTGAAAATGACCACCCAGTTTATTAGAGCCAATACCCTCTGATAAGGGACGAAGGTGGCGCTGTGGGTTAAACCACAGAGCTTAGGACTTGCCGATCAGAAGGTGGGCGGTTCGAATCCCCGCAATGGGGTGAGTTCCCGGTGCTCGGTCCCTGCTCCTGCCAACCTAGCAGTTCGAAAGCATGTCAAGCAGATAAATAGGTACCACTCTGGTGGGAAGCTAAACAATGTTTCCGTGCGCTGCTCTGGTTTGCCAGAAGCGGCTTAATCATGCTGGCCACATGACCCGGAAACTGTACGCCAGCTCCTTCGCCTATAGAGTGAGATGAGCGCCGCAACCCCAGAGTCGGCCACAACTGGACCTAATGGTCAGGGGTCCCTTTACCTTTACCCTGGATAAAGGAACTGAAGGGAACAAATTACATAACATCCCACAAACAAAGATGCAATAATATAGTTTCAAACTATCTGTATTTGTATCTCAGCGGAGAGCCACTGCTCTTCACAACTTTCGTCAAAGCATTTATCGTGATGATCTATTGAAAAGGTTCGTCGTTGGAAACTCTCAGCGGTTTTGGTCTCCGATAGCCACTTGCCTTCAGATATGCCAACCATGGTACACAGTGGCAACATGATTGGTGCTTGTAGATTATAGGATTGCCTTAATTTTTTTAATTCCCTGCCCATAAAACATCCAGCGTGCCAGGGAAAGACCCTTCTTTGCAGGATAGATTTTTTTTATCTGCAAGGTTTTCTTGGAGGTGTGGGCTTGGTATGAAGGAACATCCATAATGCTGGCCCTCACATGCACCCAAACACAAGTTTACTACCTCAAAGAGAGGTTCCCATTGAAGCCCACCTCTTTACCTTCTTTCCCCACTTTTCATTATATGTACAACAAAGTGTCAATCCCAGCTGTACCATTTCGAGTGGCAGGTGGTCAGGTCCCCAAACTAAGGACCGCGGGCCGGATAAGGCCCGAAGGACTCGTTTATCCAGCCTGCGGCAACCCCCGTCACCCGCTCTTACCAACACTGCACTGCGCGGATGTCCACTTCCGGGTCAGAGGAGCTCTGCAAATAGCTTCTGCGTATGCACATGCGCAAGCGTTATTTCCGGTGCACATCCGGGTCGGAGATGGCCTGTGCACATGCACACATGCTATTTCCAGTGCTCCTCCGACCCAGAAGTGCGCCAGAAATAGCATGTGCACACGCGTATGGGCACACGCTCTCCCACCCTCTGCACAATCAGCACTGGAGACACTGGCCCGAGGCGCGGTAAGTTTGCTGACCCCTGCCCTACACTCTGCCACTTGTGATGATTGCTAAAAGCAGAATAAATTAAGCAAACCTGTTCAGCTTACATAATTTATTCAGGTCACAGAATTCATCGTTTCCAATACAGAATTTTGATTCCATGGTCAGAAGTTTGATTTTTAATGCAGAGTACACAGATGTCCTGTGACTGACATCCAACATTAAGTCACACTCAGAACAGACTGATTTATATCAATAGACTAAAGTTCATTGATTTCAGTGGGTCTGCTCAGATTATAGCTAGCAGTGAATATTGTCCAGTTTCCACACTCTTTTCTGTGTCAATAGTTACGAAATGGACCAGGAACATTCGTAACTATTGACAGAGGGTTGAAGGTCATTGGTCTTCGAAGAAGGCAGGTTAAAGGTAGGATCCATTGTAAACAAGCAGAGCTGCCACTCATTTTGAAGAAATAAAACAGCAGCCTAGTTTTACTGTGTCTCACAACTTAGAAATAACAGTGTGTTTATGAGCCTTCTGCTTTTTCACCCTCCAAATTTCTCTAGATAGTGGCTCTCAAGCGTAGATCCCCTTACTGGCGTCAAAATGTCCTCTGAAAAGACCTTAACAGCTAGTCAACAGACATATTGCAGGGCAAGAGAATTTGAAAGACCCAGGGCTGGTTTTTCCTCAAATGGGAATAACTGACACCACAAAGAATACTGGCAAAACACACCACGATATTTACCTGGAGTTCCAGCCAATGCTGCTTTGGCCCCTGTTAGGGTCAACAACCCCCCTTCCTTCAGGTGCTTGGTGGCCAAATGGCTAGAGATCGTTGACGTCCAAACACTTTGTTTCCACATCAGGTCAGTATTTTTGTATAAAGCTGGTGAGCAGAGAAAAGCCAGGACACGTTAGGCATCAAGACAGAACCAGCATGTACATGTTGCTTGCTCAAAACTGCAAACCTCCCTTAGTTTGTCAGATTTCAGATCCTTGTTTTGAATTCCTTGTTTTGCAGCAGAAACTAAAAAAACAACAACCCACCCTACCCACTTCAAAGTTATCTTCTGATGGCAAAATCTTCACTGGTCATCTTTTGTATTCTTTTCACTATATGCTTAAAACCTGGCGACTTGAGAGACCTATTCCTGAGGAATCTTGGTGATAATAATAATAATAATAATAATAATAATAATAATAATAATTACCCTGCCCATCTTGTTGGGTTTCCCCAGCCACTCTGAGCAGCTCCCAACAGAATATTAAAAACACAATAAAACATCAAACATTAAAATCTTCCCTAAACAGGGTTGCCTTCAGATGTCTTCTAAAAGTCAGATAGCTGTTTATTTCCTAGACATCTGATGGGAGGGCATTCCACAGGGTGGGTGCCACTACCGAGAAGGCCCTCTGCCTGGTTCCCTGTAACCTCACTTCTCGCAGTGAGGGAACCGCTAGAAGGCCCTCGGAGATGGACTTCAGTGTCTGAATGATGGCGGTGGAGATGCTCCTTCAGATATACCAGTTGGTTTCTTGTTCTCTTTAATGTTTTACTGTACGTTTGTTTCATTATATTCTTGCATTGGTTTATATTGTAACAATACGGTGAAAGGAATACGATGATGTTTTAAGGCGAGCTTCCCAGATAAAAGACTCCAAATTATCCAGAAGACTCTGATTTGAGCTCTCCTGAATCTAAAAAACAGGGGGCCCAACACTAGCTCCCACTTCCCAAAGAGAAAGGGAAGGAATATGTAGCAATGTTCTGTTCTATACTTGCCCAGGTCGAACTACATGTTTCTGGTCCAGCAAACCATGGTTTGCTGAAGCAGAAATGAGCAATGAGTTTAAGTGCTTCCTGTTTTCTTAATCTACTCCTCTTGCATACCTGGCTTCAGAGGAGATTTCCTGGTTTGCTAGATGAATGGCATCCGAACTGTGGTTTAAGAATTCCCTACAAACAAGATCAGAAGGTGTTCGGCAAATCCTATCTGGAATGTAGCACACAGACCACAATTGCCTGATTGGAACGTCACAGGGAACCTGTGGCTTATCAAACTGGGAGGCCTTCTCTGAAGCCAAGCTTACATGTGCTCCAAAAACCCATACTTTGTTGGAGCAGGAAAATCATGCTTTGAACGCTTTTAGACACAAACCATCTCAGAAATATTACATTCATAATTGAGACTTATGGAGCTGTTTAGGATCAGTTAGTTCTTTGAAGAATAGTCTCCTATTCTAATATGTTTCTAATATGTATGTGCAAAAGCCTGTCCTGAAGTATTTTATAATCACTGGAAAAGTGCTTTGTAGTACCATGCAAAAACCTGGGTTTGATTTTAGAAACCATTAACTCTTTTCCTGGAATTTAATGGAATCGACCACCAAACCACTACAAAACAGAGAATATTTTCCAATGGTCTCCTTAAATGCCAGACATAACTGGATTATAGAATGTGCAGATTTTACGTTGCGAAACTCTGTGAAGCGGTATTTTCAACCGGAGTTCCTTTTATTTTGCAAATATAGTACAGGCAACCCCCGTTTTGCACGGGTTCAAAGCATGAGCGACTGTGCATGCATGGGCTGATTCTGGAGCCGGAACGGGGCAGAACGGGACAGAACAGAGCTGGGTGGGCTTATGCATGCTCTGCCAACACGTGCAATGACCAGGAATGCAACCCCCACACAAATAATTCTTAAAGACACGGCAAACAGGATCCTATTCACTTCAGGGTCACTGGCAGGGTTAAGGCCTGGTTCAACATTAAGACTAGTTCACCATCTGAAGCAGCTCCAGGCCACAGCTGGTCTATTTGCTTTAAAGTCCGCAATGCAGAATACATCCCCTTTGGATGGAGAAAACCAACCTCTGACCTAGTGCAACAACGGACAAGGTAGAATCCAGTCAATTACTTCCTCCAGGTGGAGGGTTTTAAAGCCTTTTAACTGGGCTTTAACAACACAACCATACCATTTCCCTTAAAAAGCAGATGACTTGGTGGTGGTGGTGGTTGGGACTCTGCCTGGATTTTTCTCTGCCAGACTCTAGCAGCAGCAGGAGAACCAGGGGGGCGGCAGGGCCCCTCCATGCCAGAGGTCCCAAGCTACGGCCAAGTGGGTGGTAAACTCCCCCTGGCAGTTCTTCCACTGGCAGTAATGTGCGAAATAGGGCCCTTTGGCCGTTTTCCTCAAACGTGGGTCTGCAGCAGTTGTTGGACTACAACTCCCATCATCCCTAGCCAGCAGGACCAGTGGTGAGGGATGATGGGAGCTGTAGTCCAACAACTTCTGGAGACCCAAGTTTGAGAAACACTGGTAGGGTGTTGTGGTTTGGGGATCACAGGATTCAAAGCCTGGAGAGGACGTGCTGGGGAAAAACCTCCCTCCACCACCTTCTGAAAAATCAACAGGCTTGCCAAGGATCAGTTTTGCATCTGGATGCAGCCACCTGGGCACCCCCGGCTTAAAGCATCATAAAATGAATGCAGGAAAGTGACCCTTAGCAAGATACTAACGGCTTAACAATTTAACAAACTTCCATCAGGTTTCAATATTGGTGGGACACAGCTACTATACTCGACTTTCTGATCACACACAAAAAGGAAAGAAGCCATTCTGAAAACACTGGTCGTCATACAAAGAAGAAATGATTTCTTCCATGGCATTCACGAGTTTGTCGCTTACATTTTGCTTTCGCGCTGCCTCCAGCCCAACCACCGGCGACACAAAGTATAGCATCGACTTTTTCTTCGCCCAGGAGTTTTCCAACATCTTCTGTCACCTTTAAATATGCGAAGACAAAGAAGTAGTGGGGGGGGGGTGTCAGTTCCAAGAGAAATACCTGGAATTTGTATACTCCCAAATCTCAAAACTGCAATTTTCTCAGACCTACATCTAATACAGGAATTGAAGCAAGGTGGGAAACAAGTGCCTGAAGTGACGGGGGGGGGGATGAGGGGGGGTAGCTGATCTCCCCTCACCTGTGTGCTACTTTTCATGTAAGAAATAGGATCCACCCGCATTAGGATTTGAGCAAGGCAGGCAAATCAACAAACACACACACAACCCATGTCACGTTTAACCGTCAGAACCAGGCTTTAGAAATCAGGGAAAGTATATGTAATGGAATATAATGGAACTAGGCTTAATATAAGCCAGTGCTTGCCAGGACTAAATCCCAAATCCTGAAATCTCTTTCCAATCCACAACCCTGGATTGGGGTGGGTGGGTTTGACCGCAATGCCTGAAGACGGTTTTGGGTCAATAAAACCTTCCACACCTCAAATTAGAAGGCAGGGCTTCTAGAACAGTGGATGTCGGTTCCAAGCAAATCGGAGGTAATATAGACTCCTCTTTTTAGAACGGAACCAATAAATATGGGGGAAGGAAGAACAAGCGACAGAAAAACAAGCATGGGAGTTGACGTAGGTGTGCCAAGATCACCAGTCCATTTTATCTTAACACGCTTTTAAAATGATATACCGCAAAATATTTCAACGATATATATCTCTCTCTCACTCACACACATATTCATGCTACCCAGGCCCTTTTGACTTGAGTTTGTTATCACACAACTCAGGCAGACCTTTAAAAGGGATAGGCAGCATCTTGAGCCAAGATGTTCCCACCTGAATGTTCCCCAGGGTTATTACATCCCTGCCCTAATATTGGCAGCTGAACCTTTAACAACTGCACGGCAGGCAGAAGTTAAGTCAGTATGGCTCCTCCTAGTGATGGGGCAAATGGAAGAAAATGCACCGACTGAATTTTCTGCCTTTCATAAAGCTGATGAGGGTGAAGAAGCTGTCGGAAAGTCTTTCCCAAGAGGCAAGAACTTTTCACACAGAAAACAGGATCTTATTTTAGGCAACTGCTATTATTTTGCAACCCAGAAGCTGCCCCAACATCTTTCTGCTTTCATTTTAATTGCTTCCAAAATGGCACAAACAATACCATGCACCTTACCTGATCTGCTTGTTCAACGAAGGAATCGCTCATTTTCACAACAACGTTGGCACTCGCTTCTTCGTTTTCTCCCAAGTCAATGCTGGCCACCCACTGATTTAAAAAGAAAAAAGTTTTCTGTTTAAAAAGCGATTTACTGTACTTATTTCGTGTTTTTGTCTTTTGCACCAGAAAACAAAAGTATTTCCTAAAACCGTTTCAAAGGGAAACAGGGAGGAGTGTCCATTCTTTCATTGCAGATTTATTTCAGGTATGTTGCCCATACAGTGGTACCTCGGGTTAAGTACTTAATTCGTTCTGGAGGTCCGTACTTAACCTGGAACTGTTCTTAACCTGAAGCACCAATTTAGCTAATGGGGCCTCCCGCTGCCGCCACCGCAGCACAATTTCTGTTCTCATCCTGAAGCAAAGTTCTTAACCTGAAGGACTATTTCTGGGTTAGTGGAGTCTGTAACCTGAAGCGTATGTAACCCGAGGTACCACTGTACTTTGCGCACTTCCTCAGGCTCAAGCCCCAAAACAGGACAGCTTTTCCCCCTATATCGAAAGAGCCCTTTGTTCTTTCCCATCTCCCCAACAAGTATTGAAAGTGTCCCCTTGCGATTCCTTTAACGCGCCGCGTAAAATTGCTGTTTCGGGGATGCGCGGGGATAAGGAGCGCTGGCTGCGCCCGACAACCTGCAGCTTCGTCTACCGAGAGCATAAAAAAAAAAAACTTTAAGGAAAGGGACAGGACCAAGGGCCGCCGGGCAAGTCCGTGGCAGAACGAGCGGCTGCTGCGACGCGCAACCCGCGCGCCTCCTTTTGCAGCGAGGCGGATGGAGCTCTTTGCGCACACACGCGCGCGTGTTGCGCGTTACGCGTTGCGCCGGGAAGGCCCGGGGAATGAAAGCTTGGGATTAGGCTTGGGAACGGCGCTCCGTGCAGACGCAGCCGATCTGCAGAAACGCCAAGAGCGCCTTGTTCGCCACCACCCTCGATTCGTCCCCACGGGGCTGCTGCCCTTACCCAGTTCTTCCCTCGGAAGTAGCGCACGCATTGGGAGCCCAGGGCGCCCCGGCCGCCATACACGAGGACCCGGCGCGCTTCGGCCGCCGCCATGGCTCAGCCTCGCCTGCAGCCGCCTTTCGCCTCCGGCCCGGGATCGGCGAGCGGCCGCAAACGCTCCGCCTTCCCAAGAAGGAAGGATCTTGCGCGGAGGAGGAGAGAGAGAGAGCGAAGCGCCTCCCTCGCTGCTGCGCCGATGGCGCAAGCGCCCCCTTGCACTGGAAGCTGGGAGCAGGGTTTTCCCGAGGGAGAGAGCTGTGTTTGTTTGGAAAGGGGAAACAAGCAAGAAAGTATAACCACATCAATGAGTTCAGAAGCGTAACAATGTACCAATGTTTCCTTAAAGTGGTGCGACCTTTTTTTGTGTGTGCGACTGTGGAACCCAGTTCAGCTACTGATTGATTGATTGATTGATTGATAGTGTGGCTGCAGTATATTGTTTATTGTCAGGGCCGGATTTAGGTTTGATGAGGCCCTAAGTTACTGGAGGTAATGGGGCCCTTTATATGTCCAGCTGTCCTTTGTCAACAACAAATTGTCACTGTTTCTTGTGTTGAATATATGTTATATGGTAATTTATGGACCTAATAGGTATCTGAAGCCATTTGCACATGCAGAATGTAGGCACCCTATATAGAGAAATGAGCAAACCAGTGATATTTTAGGGAGCAGGCTAGCAGGCGGGGCCCATTACTTACATCATAGGAGTCTACACAACACAAAACACTGTTGCTGTATGTAGGTTTTATTTTATTTCTTTTTTATCTTATATTTTTGAAATGTACATCCCGTTTTTTTCCCTTTAAATTTTTTGGGGGCCCCCAAGAAAGTGGGGCATAGCTCTAGCTTATATGCTGGACCATAAAGAAGGCTGATTGCCGAAGAATTGATGCTTTTGAGTTATGGTGCTGGAGGAGACTCTTGAGAGTCCCACAGACTGCAAGAAGATCAAACCTATCCATTCTGAAGGAAATCAGCCCTGAGTTCTCACTGGAAGGACAGATCCTGAAGCTGAGGCTCCAATACTTTGGCCAGCTCATGAGAAGAGAAGACTCCCTGGAAAAGACCCTGATGTTGGGAAAGATGGAGGGCACAAGGAGAAGGGGATGACAGAGGACGAGATGCTTGGACAATGTTCTCAAAGCTACTAACATGAGTTTGACCAAACTACAGGAGGCAGTGGACGATAGGAGTGCCTGGCGTGCTCTGGTCCATGGAGTCATGAAGAGTCGGACACAACTAAACGACTAAACAACAACAACAAAATCCAGCACTGTTTATTGCTTTCATTTTATGGATCAGTGGTCTCGTTAGATAGTAAAATTCATGTTGAATCGCTGTTTTAGGGGTTGTTTTTAAAAGTCTGGAACGGATTAATCCATTTTGCATTACTTTCTATGGGAAAGCGTGCCTTGGTTCTGGAACGCTTTGGTTTTGGAACAGACTTCCGGAACGGATTAAATTTGAGAACCAAGGTACCACTGTACAGAAGTTGTGTATGGTGAAGCAGAGGATTACTCAGGCTGATGCTGTGCTAGCTAGTATAGCAGCACTGTTTTCCCAACAGCAACACTGCACGCTTGCAGTCCCCCAAACAGCTCTTTCTCACCAGTCACCTCTGCAAACTGAGGCATATTCGTGCTACGCCTATCAATTGCCAAACTGTTGTCTTCATCCCCATTCCAAACAGGCGAGCTTTCTTCAAAAGCTAACCAGCAGCAAGAAAAGAGATATCAATGTTCATTAAACAAGCTTCTTCAGCTTTTATGAGGTTATTTTGCATTTCCGGTGACTTCCGGGTTGGCGCGATCCGGGAATGGCGGATTCCCTCCAAGCTCCGGAGGGAATCGGCTCAGCGGTGGATGGGTCTTTGCCGTGCCGGCGACACGGGGACCCTTAAAAACCGCAGGTGCAGATGCCTGCGGACTGAAGACTCGGCGGGTGCCTTAAGCGCCCCCCCTGATTCGCGAAGAGCCTTTTTAAAGGCTATGGAGGGGATACGGGGGACGGCGCGGCACTGAGAGTCGATCGCTACCGCCGCTGAGCGAAACCGCGAGCCATAACCGGAGAGCGCTGACTTCCTTCCTTGAAATTTGGATTGAAAAAAGAACCCGTGAGTAATTTGGAACTGAGCTTTAAAAACTTTTACCTTTTGAATTTGAGACGACCGGGGGGTGTGCCAAAAGGAAGTCCCCATCCCCCCCCCTTGCAGACGATCCAGAGCAACGATATAAGAGCTAAGCTGGAGTGTCCACCCTGTAAAGGGTGAGTTTTAAAAAAGACAGTAACTTCCAAGATTTGGAAAAGCAAATTTAAGCAGGAGAGTGGAGTGTTGGAAGAGTTTTTGTTTTGTGGTAAACAACCCTCCCTCCCGAGCCCGGGAGCGATCTGCTTTGGAGCCTGTATAGAGGAGCAGAATTTGACAGCTGTCAAAGCTGTCAAATGGACTGTTAATACTGAAAAAATTGCTACTTAAGACCTCTCCGGATAAAAAGGAGTTACAATTGAACTAAAATTTTGGGAAACAAAGAAACAATAATAGGACAGAGGATTGTTGGAGAAAAGACCATCCAGTAACCAGATTCCCTCTAGGGGGAATTCTGTGGAATTACAATGGCTGTGGGTGGAAAGATACTGAGAGAAATCGAAAGGATGTTTTCACTGGTGGGAACCTTACAGGAGCAGACTACAGCTATGAGTAAACAATTGACGGCCTTGGATTTGGAAACAAGTAGCTCTGCTGAATGTAATGAGGACTTGAATGAGAAAGAACCCACAGCTGAATTTGAAATAATAAACAAAGAAGAGGAGAAGACAAAACAAGAAAGAGAACAAGTTATGTGGGAAAATACTAACCAGAAGCCGATATTTGGAGAATACAAACAAGGAGACCATTGGATGGAATCTATTCCAAGCCTACGAAAGATACAGAAGATGAAAGTGGAGGCCCTGGGAGTTTATGGATCTCAGGAACTCGAAATAAAGAAGTACAATTGGGGCCTCCACATAGACTTTGATTTTGACCATCACCAAGACTCAGGCCTTGTGGAAATTCCTCAGCAGTTGCTTATAAATATGGGAAGAGATTATGGACTGATTGGATTGAATGTTAATGAAATCTTTCGAGACTCGATGACTGACAAAGAGGACTACCAACAAAACCGGCGGAGAGGGACTGAAATAGATTTGAGAGCCTCGGATGTGCGGAATCCAGGCTAAAAACTGTTATTTTGGACATGTCTTGGGAAAGGACGCAAAGCGGGGATGGGAGGGAGGGAAGCATAAACTTAAATAACACTCAAGACCAGGGGTTTAGTAATAAGGAAATTACTCAAGAAAAAATGAGAAATCGAGGGAAGAGAATTGGGGTCTAACTTAGGGAAAATTTATTTTTTGTTTCTATAAAAGGACTAATATTAAGAAGGAAGAAATGCTAACTTGCTGACATAAACCTGGGAACAGGGATGCAAGGGAGGGGGTGGGGGAAAGTCAAGGACTAGGGTTAGAAAATAAGACTTTTTGGAACTATTCATGTTTGCTGTTGTTTTTTTTATGTTTGTTTTGGTGTTATGTGTTTTGTTTTTGTCTATATAAAATGTGAAAACCGAATAAAAATTATTAAAAAAAAAAAAAAAATATTTTGCATTTCCGAGCTTGAGCTTGCAACTGTGCAATGCAGGAAAAGCACGTGCTTCCCCAAGCTGCAACCAATTTGCGTTCCCCTTTACGCCCAGAAGATTGTTCTAATTGCAAGCCCAGGCATCCAGAAGTATCGTGTGTCTATTTCATTTAATAGTATTGGAAAGCAGAGTATCATTAATTTGGGAGAGATGACAGTAATGACATTTAGGAAACGCAAACAAACTCAAGGAGATGGCCGCTTGGTGCCATACAGCCAGTGGAATTCTGATGTCAAATTCTAACCTATCCATCCTAGTTTGCTTCCTAGCAATAATTTGAGACTTGGCAACAAATTGAACAAGCATGTGCAATTGAACAAGCAGCTAAACATCTCCCAAGTCAGAAATGGAAGTCATTTGACTATTTAAAACAGGTGAAGAATTTGAGCCTTTGAATGAAACACTAGTCATGTAACAGATATGGTGTTTCTCTCTCAACAACAAGCACCGTTGCCGTGCAGAGAGATGACGCTCTTCTCTGTCATCCTTGTGGATTATTGTACAAAATTGATCTTTTGGAGCTGGTTTTTGATCTGCACATCTCAGTTTGTGAATTAGAAAAGATGCTGAAAAGATGAACCGACAAGCACTGCCTGAAAAAGATCCAACATCTATAATTACTGCTGGGAGATCCTGAAAGATGATTTATTTGAGACATTAGAATGCCCAGCTACTTCAAATGGGCTGTCTTTGCTTCCATCGCTGTGTTGAGCTTTGCGTCTTTTATCTTGATCCTCGTTGCAATGAGCACCCAGAAATGGATGACCGGAAAAATCCTTTGCAAAACAGGAGCTGAGCTGGTCAATGCCACAGACCCAGAGCTAGTCAAATTCATGGGGGAAATTTACTACGGACTCTTTGGAGGTGGCAAAATACGCCAATGTGGGTTAGGTGGGCGGCGATCCAAATTCACAAGTAAGTAACACTTTTGGTTCATTTCTCGAATGTGCGCCTATTGACCATACATTTTCTTTATGTTTTCTTTATGCGAAACATTGGGATTTTACCTCTGTGGCTTGTTTTATGAGTTATTTTATTTTTTTCTTCTCAAATTGGAGTAAAAAATGTGGGTATATTTTAAAAACTGCTCTCCTTGACTGAAATGTGGGGACTTGAAGAGGACCCCCCCCCCAATACCCATGGCCCTTAGATGCTGAAATAGGATCCTGATGGGGAGAGGAATAAGAAGATGGGGGGGACCATGTTGAGACAGGGGTCATGGGGAAAGAAGCAAGTCTGGCGCTGAGGGCAGGACTGGTTCCCCGCTTTGACAAGGCAAGGGAAGAATGAGTGGCCTAAAATGAGTCCTTTGGGTTGGACAAAGGTCTACTTATAAGTAAAATCAGGACTGGAAGTGAGGGCAAGGGAGCCAGGAAACAGATGTGGTCAGTGGAGGAGAAAGGGTGCTTCCAGGCCAGTCCTGTTCTGGGAATCATATACTGGCCAATTAAAGCTGTGCAGT